CTTTAATGAAAAAAATCTTTAAGACCTCTTTTGTAGAGCGAAAAATTTTGTAATAAAATATTATTTTCACAAAGGTATAGATTTACATGCTTAAGGCAAAATATTAAAGAATCTCATGATATGTACATGGGAAAAAAATATGATTCAGGCACGGTTTAAATTGAAAATAGAGAGCTTGTTTACGTTGGATCCTTATTTTTAAGACAAAAACTGAAACTTTAGGGGGCGTTTGCAAAATCATAATCAAATTAGGAAATAACGGACACACTAATATACATATATAAAGAGTTAAATAGAATCCTTACACGAAGTATATAAGTAATCGATAATTCAATTATTTAACGTAATCATTACTTTTTATAGAACACAATAATACCTAATGCAGCAAAAATATATATGTACATATGTGTATTATTGTATAATTACATAGTATAATAACAGTTAACCTAAAAAGCAACGCTCTCCGCTTTAGAGCGATGGTTAAGGCCCTAACAAAAATATAACACCGCTTATTATTAATAAACATATGTAATATATTTACTAACTATATAAACTTATTAAACATATATAAAACTATAGACTGGAAAAAAATATGTCTTGCTTAAGTAAAAGTAAATTGCGTTTTTCACCAACAAAAACAATTGCTTGTATAAAATTTTGATATTATTTTTTTCTATGATTAAAAAAGTATTTACTAAAATAAGAAATTAAACTGCAACTTCACATCCGATTTTTCAGACTTTTTGACTTTCAGCGTTTGAGGAAACTGATTCACACTGCGATTTCAAAAATTTAGTTTTAAAAACTTATTCAGCTAATTAAATGCTTAAAAAGATTAAAGCGCCTAAAAAGCCTCTACTAATAAAACCGGCAGCTTCATAAATTTTGCATTTTTACAGTCAACTGCAGATAAAATGAGTCAAAAATTCCTAAAGGTCTGGCTTTTAAGATGGTTAGCGATCCAGCGCTTTTTAGCTTAAGAGAAAGGCAACTGAATTAGGTGCTGAAAGCCAAGCATCTCAGAAGCCCGGTAATCCATAAAGATTTTTCATGTGCAAAGCGCAGAGAGCTAAAGCGTCAGAAAAAGTTAGCACGGAGTTGCAATTTCAGTTTTCACACATATTCTATGCATCAAAGGTTATATAATATAATAATTTTTGTAAATCCATATAGTAACAAATAATCTGATATTTATAGGCTACTTATTTACTGTTTTATTGTTATGGTGGTAGTGTTTGTGTATACTTGTTTATAACTGTGGATGATGTACGTAAATATGCATGTATGTATGTAAAAGGCATTTGTTTGGTTTTAATTTAAATATATTTATTTTTTTATTAATTCACTACGTAGCATATAACGGCATTCAGCAACTTTCTTGCAACGTCATTTTACTGCTCTTAATAATACAATAAAATTTAGCTACTCGTTTTCATACAAGCATAATTTAAATTTCATATTCTTATGGTTTATTTTTTAGCTTTTTTATTTTATTACAAATATAATATTAATATTCAACAAAGTGTATTTTTTATTATGATTTG